GATGGGAAACCAGGAATAAGTGCTGCCTCAGGGCAAGTTGGAACAATAGTTGCCATGTTTACTGAAATCTCAGTATACTGAATTGGTGTATTTATGATACAGATCAGTTCCTCTTTTGACAGCTTCTTCCACAAACATTTTCTCACATTCAGCCACTCTACATGAGGCCTTTCTTCTTGAATTTGGGATCTTGAAGGTACACCTGCTACAATGGATATCTCAGGGCAAGACATGGCTATGCAAGATGTTTCTAAAACTTTCAGTTTTTTGGCAGATGGAAAGCCTGGAATACTTGTTTGACTAGGACATGAATAAGCCAAAGATAGCATATTTTTAATCATGTTTATGTTATACTCAGATCTTTCCACGTAAGGTGTAGACAGAATGGTTTCTTCTGGTTTTGGTTTTGCTGGCTTGCTCCATAATGTACTTGCATCCGTAAGCCAGTCCACCCCCTCTGTCAGATGAGTGTTAGAGAAATCTGAAGATGGAAATCCAGGGACTCTAGAAATTCGTGGACATGCTGGGAAGAGATCCACCATGTTTGGTGTCCACTCTTTCTGTGGTCCTTTGGACTGACACATGGAAGATAACAGATTATCTGCATCCTCCATGGTCCCTTTTTCATTCTCGTGTCTGTATGTGAGCTGGTCTGGTCTTTGTTTCAGGTCTTCAAATGCGCACTCTTTATAAGCAGAGTAACCTATGCATGCATCTGTGTAATCTTCTGCTTTTGGGATTTCATCATCTGTACTTTCAATTCTGAAGGAAGTAAAATATTATGGTGAGGGGACGTGACATATACAGCATCATTAAAAGTTATACATGCGTGTTTAACAGTCTTCTAAAAATAAATGTATAATGGTCATTCCATTCTAGAGGGAACAGACAGCAGCATGGTATCCATTTCAAAAGAGTATAAAACATAGCAACCACATATCAAATTATAAACACATCCCCAAAACACTACAAGCATGCACACAGGGCTCAGTGACACTGTTTCTCACAGTTTCCCTTTTCAAATTAGTCAAGTACCTCTTTTAGTTAATGTCTAGAATTGATGATACATCATCTCCTATGTGGTGCATCTAATGTAAATATTTAAAATGGAGAGTTACGAATGTACTTGTTATGGCATGGTAAGTTGGCACAGCACTGGTACAAGCACAAGCGAAACTCACCTCTCCCCAGCAGTCAGTATTAGTGGCATGTCTGGAGGTAGGGAGTGCCACATTCTGCAGTGTATTTTCCTGAACACAGGGTTTATGGGAAATTATTTTATGCACTGTCTACTGGCTGCGGGGTGAGAAATTCAAGTTTCTGTTAGCATAATTTCCATAATCCTATCCTAAACTTACCCATTCTCCAGAATTCCCCTTTCTCCTTCCTCACGTCTTGCCCAAAAGCCCAAATCCTCTTTGGTCTCCTGCAGTGAGCTAAGCAATTTGCTTGCATTATCTTGATTTGTTTCATGCACTATTGAATTATCTGTTGAAATTGTAATAGTAGTCAAATGACAGCTAGCTATGCTGGCTAATTCTAACCATGGGAATCCATTGGTTTCAGAAACTTCTGCACAGGATGATCGCATACTTGACATCATATGCTTATCCGATGTGGGCGCAGAGGGAAAGCCAGGCATTGTTGCTTTTCTTGGACAAGATGGCATTAATAAAGCCATGCTCTTTATACTTCCATCGTCATCTGTAAGTGCATATTTAGGTGGATATGAAAGTGTGGAACAGCATGGATGATTACTTATTCCTTTCACCCAGAATGGCTGTGTTTTCACTGGCCATTTTCCTAAAGACATAGATTCAGTGTTGACCACAGACGGCATTCCAAGGATACAAGAAACATTTGGACAAGAAGTCACAGTTCTTATCCTCCTGTGTGAGCTCTCTTCATTCTGGGTTAGTGCAGATGGGAAGCCAGGGGTTTGTGCTTTTCTGGGACACGTTGGTGATAAGGCCACCATAGACCATGCAAAATCAATGTTTTCCTTAAATATGTCCATAATTTGAGGTAAAATAATATATATTTTTTCCTTTTTTGGCATTTTAATTAATGCATTCTTGTTGGAAATCCACTGTTGAATTGCATCTTGGTCTGTTTTCAGAGCCATTATGGATGGGATTCCTATAATTTTGGAATTGTTTGGGCAAGATGGTAACATATTTACAATACTTGGGTGTTTCTGAGGTCTTAGCTTTGGGCTTGTACTCTCCATTGGCTTGTTCTTAACTACTGACAGTCCTGAAGGTAGATTAGACATTTCTAATGTTTTGGGACACACTGGAAGTAGTTCAGCCATATTTGGGGCAGAGGGAAAACCGGGAATAGTAGTAGCTCTTGGGCATGTTTGTCTAAGTGAAACCATATTTCTCACTAATCTGGTATCATGGTATGGCTCTCCCAGGTCATGGATTACCTTTGTTGGATCATCTTTCTTTTGGATAACAAATATTGTCAGCTGGCCAGAGGGACACTGTTGACAATCTTGGTCAATTTTGAAAAACACTGTGGAAGGAAACCCTGCAATACTAGAAATCCTTGGGCAAGATGGTAACATATTTACCACTCTCAGATGTTCTTGTGGTGTGGACCTTGGAACAGATGGAAATCCAGGGATCCTAGATGATGTTGTGCATGACGGTCTCATAAAAATCATTATTTCAGACATATCTTTATTCTCTGTGGCCTGAATCTGTATTTTATTTTTCTTCAGCTTTCTTTCCCATAAGACCATGTTATTCTTGGGCCAGATTTCATTTTCTAAGACAGTGACTGGTAGTCTTGAGGGTAAGCCAGACACACTTGAGGCTTTTGGACAAGTTGGAAGGAGACTAGCTACGTTTGATTTGCCATCTGCATAAAATGGCACAGACGGAAAGCCAGGAATACTGACAGATCGTGGGCAAGTTGGCCTCAGTGACATCATTTTTCTTATTATATTCATGTCATGGTACTGTATTCCCAGATTATGAATAAGCTTAGCTCTTTTCACTTTGAGTTGTGTAATACTCCCTGACCCTTTAAGCGATTGCCATTCCACAGTTTGTTCTGACAAATATAAGGATGGTAAGCCAGGTATAAGCGCAGCTCTTGGACAGGATGGGAGAAGGCTGATCATGCATGGTGCTGTATATGTCTTCTCCTGTGATGGGCTTTCATCTGCAGGCCTCTGCTCACCCTCCCCTGTTTTAATATCTTGCCAAGATGGGAATTCAGGAGCGTGTGATACTTTTGCACAGGTTGCCTCAATACCAGCTGATCTTCCTTTTGCTTTACGCAGCTTTGCAAACTGTGGAACATGTTTATCCCCTGAAAGATTCACAATATTTGTCATAGCCCCATTATCTTGATTTGATTTTTGATCACTGACCTCTTCATTGTTTCTATCTGACCTGTTCACTGGCAAAACTCTGCTCTGAATTGCAGTATTATGTGTTGATGTGGATGGCGACCAAGGAGAATTGGGCATTCTTGGGCAAAAGGGCAGAAAAGCAGGCATGCTTTTGGCTCTGGGGGACAGGGAGACCAGAACTTAGGTCAAAGAGGGAGAATGTCAGATGGACTTAATAAAATGGGCAAATGTGCATGCCTATACAGATGGCGATATGCATGCTATAATTGATTTAGTGCATCTATGTTATACAGCTATAACTACAGCTCTGCTAATGTATGTAAATAAATGAGCCGAATCAAACCATGCCATGTCATGCTACACTTACCCCTGATCCATTTTAGTCTTTTCTGGCCTAACTGCCAGTTCTGTCTCAAGTAGGAGGTTAATGTCTCGCTCATTCTCATCTGTTTGGATACTTTGAAACTGTGTGGACTCAGTTTGTGCCTTAGGGGTCTCCTCTTTATCAGGGATCACAGGAATGACTTTATCCTGTTTTATCTGCAGTTTGACTGACTGTGCATTTGTTGGCTCTTCTGATTTGGTGCACTTGACCTCAGCTGTGACTATGAAAGATGCAAGCGTACTTTGAGGGACTGTTTCAGTAGGTGTCATCTCTGCAACACCCTTCTCGGCCCTGGGCAACTCAAAATATGTGACATCTGTGACACTGGAAGCTTTGGGACTAGAGGGCAGCAGAGAGGCCATGCTCTCAGGTCTGGGAAGGAGAAATATTAGGGTGAGACCCGATCAGGCGCGATGCAGTCATAGCATACTTTTACCCACTTTAAACAGATTGTATACAAGGATTTTATCACTCCACTTCATGTTTATTTGCCTCAATATTTGTGCTTGCATAAAATGTGCAAATTCAACAAAAAGTGCTTCCAAAAAGATACAACTCCATACATCCAGAAATACCCATATACACCATATACCCCAAATAAAGGTTATTTGTCCTTTCATGTTGATCTCAATGTCTAAATGGAATACAAGCACTGTATTTAACTGTAAACAATAAGCATGAAAACCACAGGAGGCAGCTTACAGTTTTATTGATTTACATCAGTAAAAATCTTGATTTTGAACCCTGAAATGTAAACACTTCCAGAACTCATAGTGGTTGGGTTCAACGAGACTACAATCAAACCAAGTAAACAGTGGTTTTACAATGAAGAACAAAAACTTTAATAAGTGTATGTCATATGTCATACACATTTAAACCCACTAACAGTTAAATAATAAGAGGATGTCCATGAAAACGTAAAGTATAACTGGTTCATGTCCAAAGCAAGACATAAACTTATGCCTTGTTCTTTTACCAACCCAGTTTTCTCCATTATATAAAGAAATGACACAACATATAAAATCACTGGCTGAAAAGAAATCTTAATGAGATGCACTCCAGCATTGTTGGTGTGATGATGTAATTCTGCATGAGTACTTTCACCACCTCATATTGTGTATTTTGAAAATTTAGCACTATTTTTGCTCTCTTCAAATGCATTTTCACTCTTCACAGTTACTCTTCACACTATTTTTGGAATTTGCCCCAAATGCAATTTAACTGAATTATAAATATCAATTTACTCACCCTGATGCTGGTTTTACAATCTTCAGTCCAAAGACTGACTCTCCTTCCTGTTTCTTGACCCCAGGAACAGCCAATTGATGCTTGTCTTTGGAGTTCTCTGGTCTCTGACTGTCTATGCTGATCATTCCAGCTTTACGGGGTGAAGATCTGAAGTCGTTGGTTCCATGGGCATTTGATGTTTTGGTATCTGTCTTCTCCTCACCTTCACACAATGACACAAAAAGGCAATGAAGACAAAGTTATGGTAGAATAGCATGTAACTCATACAGCACACATAAGCAATGAGAATCAACCTTTCCATGCTCTACCTGAAAATGCGTTCTTTTGTAGCAAGTGTTGCCAGGCTGAACAAGTTTACAGACCGCTAAAAAAATTCCATTCAACCTAGTGAGAAAGTATAATGCTCTTTGTTTAGAGCTGCTACATAACATTTTATGAGCTATAGGGCAGTTTAGTTGGTCAGCTTAGTCAACTTAAAATGTGACATCCCCAAACTGGATTATGTTGTCGCAGTTAAGTGAAACTATACAGGTTGGAAACTATGACAAATTTGCCACTATGCTAACATTAGCCTCATTGCATCAATCCTAACAATCTTTTCTCACACATACAAAATAAATACCTTTTAAAAATAAGAAATCTAAGTATCTAAATCCAAAAAATGATGTGTGTTCCAATTTCTTAATAGGTTCAATGGGATTTCTGAAAGTGTTCTCTAAAGCTTGTCCAGCAGTTTGTTAAAAGAACACACTTGTAGGTGGAGCATGGATAGGTCAATTAACATGTCATTCAACATAATTCTTACCAGGACTCACTGCACTGGGATATTCCTCCTCTGTCAATATGCTCAACTGTCGATACACTTCTGAAAAACATCAAAACACAAAAATGGACTGTGTGATCTCCTTAGTACGTACAATGTGTTGACGAGCATGGATCTACATCAGCTTCTGTGCAAAAATGAAACCCACAGGGTGTCTGTTCTTCCAGAAGATAAAACTTTTTTAAATGCATTGCCACTGCCACAAATGCCTTGACATGGTGGAGATTCTACTCTCATTGCACACACAGTTGATGCCATGAATACCACATTTTCAATAAATTAGTCCCAAGGCGAAACAAGGCTGTGTTTCTGAGCCACAGGAGCATTGTCACATACACATCAGCCTAGAAATAGTGCTTACACTCTTATTAACACCTTTAAGCAAGGTGTATTTATGAAAGACAATGGACTTTTCTCAAATCCCTTTCTGCACATTTGGAAAAGCATAAAGTCTTTCACAAGCCAAACACGTCAAACCTCATGCACCATAACTGATTGAAGCACAGTCCAGATTATTCCCAGATGCAATTACCCTACAAAAGACAACTCTTTACACTACCACTCCAAAAGTTTGGAATCACCTCTCAAAGGTTTGGAATCTATATTTTACTTGTTTTGTTGATTTTCTGTCTGAAAATAAGTTTCACATCCTCTACAGAGAACAGAATTCTGCACATTTTGTACAATTACTGTTTATCTGTTCAACTGATCATATTTAAAATGCAAAATTTATGGCATTTTATATTCATGTTTTTTAAATATGTTAAACTCAGCAAAAAAAAGTAGAAGTTGTGCACTAAAATTAAACCAAGAGTGTTTAAACCTTGTGCATTCAACTGTATGTAAACTATTCCTATATGATGTCAGTGCAACAGTTATAGGTTTCAAATAAATAGCAGTGCCAATATTTTGCAAAGTAGTAAAATCTAGGAACACAATAATTAAACATCTAGTAAGAACAAATTATAACTAATTATATATATATATATATATATATATATATATATATATATATATATATAGTTTTTTTTTTGGTTGTTTGTTTTTTTTTTTCTTTTTGGCATAATTTGAAATCTCCAGTTACCCATTGTCTTAACATTTCATGATGAACAGACCAGAAATGGTCCAAAATTACTTCTGTAAATTTAATATTTTGAGTAGACAAGGCTTTGTTCCAACAGCACTGCTATATGTATATATAGATACGCAATTCAAACAAAACCTACTAACATGACAAGCGATTCCAAATTGTTCTGGTTGAAAAGTCAAAACAACAATATCTGACTTTTCGTGAACACGCTCTAGAGGGTGCCATTGCCAAAGTCAGAGAAGGTAACAGTCACTAGTTTACACTCACACAATGCAGAGACACAAGGCCAGCTAGTCTTTCAACATGCATGTTCATTCACACGCAATGAGCTGGAGGTCACCAGTGTGTACCTTTACACGTGTCAGGGACAGGTGCAATCGGGGGAGCGATGGCAGTTTGGGGCAGAAATTGGGAGCAAGACAGCACAGGAGGTGGGGGAGAGAGTGTAGGAAGAGAGAGGGAAAAAGTAGAGGTAGGGGAATTCACATTAAGGGGGGCTGTAGGTCTGCGTACATTTGGCCTAACCACGGTGGGGACAACCTGGTGCCTCCATTCTGACGTTTGGACCCCATGGAAAGGGTCTAAGACAGATATGGCATGAGAGATGGAAAAGAGGATTTAAAAGTTGGAGAAGGAGAGAGACAGAGAGAGAGAGAGAGAGAGAGAGAGAGAGAGAGATGTTACAAGTAATGAAAAAAAGAGTGCAGTTTTGGTGTTTATAAGGTGTTTAACAAAATGAGTCAGGAACATGGATCATTCTGATAGTGAGGGTTATAAAGACGTGGTTACAAAACCCATGCTATTAAAGGGATACTGCAGTGTCATTCAGCCTAGACTCTGCCATGTCTGTTATATACTGTTTGTTAACAGAGGCTATTACTTTGATATGTTTCCCTTTTCCTGGAAAGAAAAGAAACCTTGTTGACTCAAAACTCTGTTATAACTGAAGCCAATGCTGAATTCTGTGAATATGCTTGACTATATAAATTCAACACCACAACCACTGCATTGTAACAAGTCTTAATTTGAAACCCACATGGGAAAACGTCTTAACAAAGCTGTTCTTATTTTTATCTCTTTAAAGCAATGTTTGTTCTTTTCAAACAGTAAAGAAACAGTCTAGAAGCAGTTCGGGTTCATTTCACATTGCCTGAGTTTTTGTATTCATGCGTGATCATGAAGGAGCCTGTGAAAACCACAAATTCTTTCCTCTGAAAAATGACCTTGATCTCTGAAATCTTAACTTACAGTTTAGTTTACAAATATTTTTCACAGAAAAACTCTTGCTTCCTAAAATTGTGTTATAAAAAATCAGAAACTCATCACTTCATGCAACAGATGCAGCAGATAGAGATTAGGTTGAAAAACACAGCAGTGTTCTTTGAGGGCATTAAAAAAACCCAGCCCTTCAAAGATGCAAATGCAGTTTTGAGTGTTAAATCAAGTAACATGAGAAGTGACTAGGTATTTCATTGGTTTAGCTTTGCAAACAATTTAGTAGAGCTGCTCTTAAAGTTTACCCTGTACCTGTCTGACAGTCGACGGATGGAGTGACCACAGGACCAACAGCAGCAGAGCCAGAAATGTGGGCAGATGATGGTAGAGCAGAAACAGGGGGGTGAGGAGTAGGTGGGGAGCTAGACGACAAAGCAGGAGTGAGGGAGGGGGAGAGCAAAGGTAAGGCAATAGAAGCAGGCGGAGGGATGGCAGCAGGGAATAAGGGGACAGGTGGCTGGGGTTTGGAAGGTGCAAAAACACAAGAAGAAGGGGAAGTAGGAACAGAAGCCACCTCAGATGGTATTAAGCATGAAGGCGGAGCTACAGTAGAATACCCGGCTCTCACTGGTTGGAAAGCACCATCAGGGGTGGGAGAAGACACTTGAGGAGAAGACAAAGGAGGATGTGGTGCATTTAGGGGTGGAGGAGGATACACATGAGTAATGGCTTTTTTAAGGGGAGGGTCTAAAACAGGGGTAGATGAAATGGAGGCAGGTCTGCGAAGTGTCTGTGTGCTTTGCACAGGCATATGACAGATGGGTTCCGCTAAGCTAGCAGGAACAGGACATAGGCTGGGCTTCACTTCAGGAGACTTCCATTCCCTCTGCCAAGATGCTACCATGGAGGTGGGGTAGGGGGAGAGAGAGAGTATCATAGTTATTTTAGCAGTGCTTGAGTATTAGTCTCTTTTAACCCAAGTACACTACTTTTATTTGACCTAAATTTGCTAGCTGCCATTATTAACATTTTATATGGGGGTCTCACAACCAAGTAAACCTTTGCCCCAAGTTCACTAGGACTTTACCTAAGTTAGCTAAGGTTGTAAGTATGACGTGACTTGTGTTCAATTAATTTTGGTCAGAAACAAGATGGAAGTGCTGGTAATAATGCTTTCTTGTTTATTTTTGCTTATCTGTCATTAAAGACTATGTTTTTTTTGTGTTACTGTAACAAAATGTAAAGCAGAGGACGCTACTGAGACAAGTAATGCCTTTACCCAGTATGAAGCATCACACAGCACGCGTTTCTATTCGGATTTCTGTGTAGATGATTTCAGCCCACCATACTCATGTGTGGCTGTTCAATAACAGAAATATAACCAGTTTACAATCTGTGATCATCATTTTGTTGACATGCTTCCAGCTCAGAAGCCCCGGACTCATCAAAAAGTCTCCCACTAGTAAATGCAACACTGTGGGGGTGTTTATGACCGCTACATTCGAAAATACAATATTTCCAACATTAAGGCAGCAACAGATAGCTGCCATTATTAGCATTTTATATGGGGTATTATCTCTGTAAATTTCTGTCTCAAGTACACTGGGGTTCAGAAGGTTACTTAGCTACATTTAACTAAACTGGGGTTCAGAAGGTTACTTAGCTACCTTTAACTAAACTGGGGTTCAGAAGGTTACTTAGCTGCCATTAACTAAACTGGGGTTCAGATGGTTTGTTAGCTGACATTATTAGCATTTTACTCAAAGTTCTTACATCTTGGTCCCACATACACTAAAAGTTTACCTAAGTTAGCTAACTGCCATTATTAGCATCTCATATGGGGCTCTTAGACCTCAATAAACCAAGTTAGCTTAGTTTTTTCCTAAGTTAGCTAGCTGTTAACATTTCATACAGTGTTCTGACTGGAGTTTTCCAGGACAAGGCTTAATCCCTGTCTGGGAAACCGACCCTAGAATTTTTTTTTGAAATACATGGAAATAAATAGCATATAATCCCAAACAAAGTTTGAGAGAAAATGGTCAATTAACTTCCCAAACACTGTCACTATACAGCTCTGTGGGGTTAAATTACCTGTCTCAGTAGCAGAAGGCATGCTGGTGGGCCTTGTGAGAGTGGAGCCTGGCTCAGCCAGTGAAACACGGTAGGCTTTTAAAGGGCATTGTGCAGGGGGAGGTATAGAGCCAGTATGGGCAGAGCCAAGACTAGAAGTAACAGGGCTGGAGGCAGAAGGATGTGGACGTAAAGAGGGAAAACTGAGAGGTCTCCAGACTCCTGGGGCAGCCTGAGTGGCTGAGACCAAGGAAAACAGAAAAAGAGGTAAATGAAAGGTGAGAAGAAGCAAAGAATTAGCAGTAGGAAATGACAGGCGAACAGCGAAGGGAGAGGGAGCTGGTAAAAAATCTCAAATAACGATGTAACTAGTTTACCATACACACTCTTACAACAGGGCCAATTTAACACTACTACTCTATGTCACCAGCCTAGCTGATAGAAAAATTAACACAGTAAAGTGGGTTACATTAAATTAGAGGTGGTTGATATGGCAAAAATGTAATGCTGCTTCACAATACACAATATATACTATGATATATTTTTCTGAGGTTGGAACAGACACAATGCACCTGCAAAAAAGCTAAATAAAGCCAAGTTTAAAAATACTGAAAAAGTATTAATAAAAATCAAGTAAAAAAACTCAAAATATTAGTATACAAATATATAAGATAATTGCGTAATTGGCTAACATCCGATCAGCTACTTGTTACCACGCTATGCAGTTTATGTTTGTGACACTTTTGTTCGTTGTTTATTAGTGTTCTACAAACAGGGTACAGGAAAACTACAGGAGGACTACAACAGTATTTATTGTTGTCATCATAATTTGTCACATGAAAAATGCTTTTTTGAGCATATTGTGGATATCAACAGTTAAAAGACACTTCCCAACTACATGTTTGATCAAAAGAGAGCATAAGTAGGCCTGGAATAGTACTGTATGTGAAATGTTGAATACAAATCAGTGTATTCATAGTTTTTTGATAGTATTATAAAATATTTTTAAATGCGGCACTATCATATATCCGAAGAAATAAATATTTTGACACATCATGTATGATGAAGGCATCCTGAAGAATCAAGATATTACATTTTTGCTATATCGCCCAGCTCTGGTCTAATTTTTTTACTTTTTATGTAGCATGCAATTGGCCAGTGAAAAACTAATGCCGACACCTGTGATGTACTCAGGAAAGCATATTATGATGTAACTTATGATGATAATAACACAGGGTCACAATAACATACTGCCCACTTCTACAATATATGATGATACCCGACACCCATTACCTGTCTGAGCAATATCAGGTAGAGGAGTAGGCTGAGAGGTAGAGACGGAAAAGTTGGAAGAGAGAGAGAAAGAAGGAACGCTGGGCAAAGCGGAGGAGAAGGGTCGTGGTTGTGATGCAACAGCACCCTCAGCGGAGCTGATCTCCATCATACTAATGTCAGCTTGGCCTCCAGAGGGCCTTTGGGGAACAGACATAGGCACTTAAAGAGAGTAAAAGAAGAAGCAGAAAGAAAACAGAAACATAATTAGATAAGTATCTAAAAGAAAAGCGGAAAGAAGAAGTCTGTTTGTGAGATTAAACTTCATTTTTTTCTTATACTTAAGATCAGCATCAGCCTACAATTCCCATATTTCTACATCTTTGACAGCATGAAAAGAAAGTCTGAAGTAGTAACAATAAGTTTGATTGTGGCACATTAGGACAGTAAGTGAAAGGAAAAACACAAGCGCAGGTCATATGGGTAGTTCTATGAGCAGATTCACAGAGTGCTGTATGGGTTACCATGTGGTTCAGACAAATGCCTCTAAAGACAGGAGCTATAAACTTAGGCCATTTATATTTAAATGTAAACAAAACAGGCAGTTTAGGAGATTCTTTCTATACAAAACACAACTTCCCACAGTGTATTTAGACATGATTTAAGATCATGCACTAGGAAGTATCTCAGAATAGAATGCAATGTTTAACACATGCCCTCTTTTAAAGAACTCTTAATCCACAGCACATTATAGTTGAGGCCCCAGTTTAGTCAAAACAAAATTTCTCTTGTCTGGTCTCACCCTTTAGTAAAAGGAGGTGTGGGTTATTAAATGCATGACTGGTTACAACAGGAATGTTTTCTAGGAAGTTTTCCAGGAAAAAATAAATTTAGTTTTTAATAGATCAAAACAACAACAAAAGACTTTTACAGTGGTGTATGCGATGATTCACCACACAATTAAATTACACCACTTTGTGGATCTTACTATAGAATGCACAAACTTGGTATTTATAATGTAAATATACATGACACCCATAGAACATATTTTGTGGTATTTTTCACTATTTTGTATATTATGGTTTTCACGTATATTTGGGTCAATTCGACTGCAATTTATGTTGAAACCCGCACCAAATTCTTTGCACATTTCGTGCTGCCAAATCATCAGTTCTGATTATTATTCTGTTGCATGCATGTGTATACCTGAGCCTGCTGTTGGCTGGAAGATTTTGGGCAGGGCAGGAGGATGAGCACGGATGAATGCTGGCACAGTGAAGGCGTAAGGGGAGGGGCGTGTGTGCTGGACGGAGCCAGCAGGGTGGAGCGGTTGGATGGGAGGAGGTGGAAGTAGTGGAAGAAAAGGATTCAGAGAGGGTGGAGGAGGAAGGTTAGGAGTAGTGACCGACAAACTCGTCCATTCCATTTCAGAATGAACTGAAAGATGGAGAGGAGGTGAGTTGTGAAACAGAGAGAGAAATGAGGAATTGGGATAAGTGAAGGATTTGTTTCGGAGGAAAAAAAGGAAATGAAAAAGGGAAGACATGGTTTGAAAACACCAAACATAAAAGTGCTCAGATGCTCAAATAAACACAGACTAAAAATGTTCATGAGCACTTGTATGTACAAATCATTGATTCCATATTTCACATTTACTGACAGGCTAAAAAAGAAGATTCAGAAAATTCAAACTAAAGTATGTATGAATTTTGAGCAAGACTCTAGAAATAATACATAGTGGTGCAATATCAGATTAATACTTAATGTTTTTATGTTACACTAAACAGTACACGTACACAATTACTCCAATCTCCAGTGGACTACAAGCATATTGGTAAAAAGAATTTATCCACCCAACCCTACTGCATGTATAACATTACAAACATTGTAAATTCACGCCACTGTGTAGTGACTGCATTTTCTGCCTTGCAAGTATGATTTTTGAGCATCTGATACCAAATAAGCACAATATATTAGAATCCTTCATGAAAATGAAATATGTTCTCAATATATTCCAAAATAGGATATATTGTACTACATTTTCAATATGTTACTTTTCACATGGGACAAAACATTCATTTGAAATGGTCTTTCGATGGTATTCATATGAACTATTAAACAAACAGTTATCAAATATAAAAAGTTGCTGTTTTCTCAGCTCTCTACTGAAGTATTTAATTAGCGCACAAAATATATTGCCTATCAACAGTATATCAACAATAACTGACAGTACAGTTCGGTCATAAAATTGGGTTATTGCAGATGGATATCATAATTTCAAATGAAGTTGGACATGAATGGTATAATGTGGTGAGAAATGAGAGAAAAAGACCCAAGTTCAGACAGAAAGTGAGAGAAAAGATGGAAAGCTACCTGTGACAGACGGGTTTGCGTCTGCAGCAGGCCTCCATGCCTGATCATGAACTCTTCTAACAGGAGGAAGAGGAGCTGACCATAGAGGGGAAGAAATGAGAGAGAGACGAGGGGTCTTGTTTGTGAAACCTTTCTTCATATGTAAGCACATCTACACCTACAGGGTTCATGAATCACTATTTCCTACAGAGTTACTGAGACACAGTTAATTACTAAACTAAAATATGCTGATTTAAATGCAAGATATTTTCTTTCATAAGTATTGCTGTCAAATGACCTAGCAAGGTAGAGGATCTATAGGGGCATTAGCAGTTAATTTGGAATCCTGTGACCAAAAATCTATGAACAAAGGACCAAAAATTTGGATAATTCAGGTTTCACAAATGAGGACCCAGAAAAAGATCACATTAATAACGAGACAGAGTTCAAGGTCACATGGAATGCTTAAGAAAGAGAGAGTGAAAGAACAAAGATGTGTGTACAGTACTTGGTTTTGTGTTTGGATGAGTATTTGATACTTTTTCTTTGTATGTTTGTGTGAGAAAGAGATTCTTACCTGTTGCTGCTATGCTGATGTTTCCTCCTGTGCTCGTCCTCCTGTCCTCCTCATCACTGTCATTAAAGTCCTCCAGGTTTCCCACATCTGAATGCTTTAGGCTCATTAGACTGGCTAAGCTCTGCATGTCCTCATCACTGCAGGGATAAGAGATACTCACTAGGTTGCCAACAACGTAATACGGATTATAAAATCCAAATATTTACTCGCAAAAATCGGACAGCACCTTCATAATGGCTACATGTTTGTTTAATTAACTCACAACAGCACTCATGAGACCATTAAACAAACATTCAGGCAATTATACTACAGCTGTCAGATTTTTCTTAACACTTTACTACAGGGAACAACACACACCTTAAAGAGCTGATCTCCAAAAGTTTAAAAGTTTTCCCATAATCTGTTATCAAAGTCTAGTGACTTTTGCCCACCTTCATTATGTCTTCTAATTTTTTGCTACATCATTGTGCACCAGTAGGAAGAGAAAAATAATATTACCCAGTAATATCATGTTTCAACTCTCTCTACCACAAGCCACACCAATCACTGAGAGAAAATGCTCAGCCAGCTCAGAGGCCCTCCCTGTTACCCTCTTTTACCCAGAAATGTTATTATACAGAATAAAAATGTAATTCATGTTAAAGAGTGCCTTGAAAAAACATAATTTGGCATGAAGATTGTACTGCATACCCTCTGGTATTAACACAGATGCAGGAAGGTGTTCTTAGCTGAGGTTGCTGAAATTTTAAGTAGCATATACATGATGTGAACAATGACATCACACTAAATAATTTACATCAAACAGAGGATGTCATAACATGCTATAATGAGGCAAGAGATGGCAATACATATAACTGACATATCAAACCACTGATAAAAATCCTCCACATTCGGCTACTGTAGATTTTGAAAATATACAGATAAAATGGAAAAAAAGCATAAACTGTAATTATTCTTAGCAGCTGCACTCCAGAAATCCATGTTCTTGCTCAGATTCTGAAGTAAGGTGGATTTTTTAAAACTAAAACTAAAAACTATACCGCACTATGTATAATCTATTTATTATTTAATACAGCATTTAATAATTGCTGTATTAAATTAACCGATCAGGAAAAATCATCTGTAAAAACTTCTTTGTGTGTTACATACAAGCTATTTCAAAACAAGCTCTTTCGAAAGTGCTCTATGTATGACTGTCTAACCCAGATGCACAGATTTTGAAAGGAATTCTGTTTGAAGCATGGATGTAAAAAGCAGAACTGAGCATGTCAATTGCTGTGAAGCATTTGTGCATTCAAAGTAGGCCATAAACTCAGTAGAAAAATGATCCCACATGAGCCAGTATTAACTAGTGACTGTTCACTGTTCAACTGTACATTTATACTACCCAGACTACTCCATTCACTGTCTGTAGAACTGAAAACAGGTCAGACAGCACTACTGGCTAAACTCAACATCCTAGTCCTCATCTTTTCTCTTTAAGCTGCTCCCAGATGGTGATTACTAGGTGATTACTTACGTGGCCTTGCCCTCTTTAAGGAAAATGCATGTCAGAGTGAGCTTGAGTGTGGCCTCCACCACTTTCACAGAAAGAGGCTTCATTCTGAGCGTCAGGTCAAACTGTGCTGAAGTGGCGTTGACATATTTCTTCATGTTTACATCCGCTGAGGCTAGAACTTTGCGATGACCCTTTGTTTCCTGTATAATTTATTAAAGACATTAAGGACACTGTAACAGATGCTAAAAATGCAATAAAAAGACTTTTATTATTTTAACTAACTGTGCTCATAAATTTAGACAAATACAACAGGATTAACTGACCACAGTGCAACATCTGCAGAGTTTATTCTGCTATTAGTCTGAACAAATCATAATTCACAGTCCTAGCTTTGTAGTGAGATGCAAATTTAAATAGGCTATATAATATATAAATTCGGCATGCGCCAATACCATTTTATCACTGACAACAATGAAGTACAGGCATCTGCACATACAGATACCTGCTCCAATCACTGGACAATTTAGATTTTATGATAGATTTTTTTGCCAAGGAGCAGTGGTGCTCCTGATTTTAAATAAACAGGAACACAGAGAAAAATTTATGAACACAAACTTAAATTAAACTTTTATATTCCGTGTATTTCTTTATTCTTCAAAACAGTCAGAAAAGATGTACTACACAGTGATCATTTCTGAAACCCTTATCTTTCCTGTTTGGCTTTGTGGTTGACCAAAATACAGTGTGTTGGGTGTTACACGCAAGCAGGCTACCATGAAGCCCAAGAGAATCAGATAATTCTCAAAGAAAAACAGATAAAGTGGAGTGGATGAACTGCTACATGTGCTGGAAAGTGCCAAGTTGTCTACCAATATCATTTATAGATATGATCTAATCACTAAGCTGCCACTTCAGCATTCTTGCATGCAAAAACTAATTTTCAGGAAGTATTTAAATAAGTATTTGCAGAAGACTTTAGCTTATATCCATCTGAATGTTTATGTAGGGCATACATTTCTGAGTATTTCCACTTTATCCAGAGGGAAAACAGTACTACATGCTAAAAAACAGTAAACATGACTGCTGCACAAACAATGGAGAAATTCATGTGAAATGTAGATGAGCTGCTGTCTGGGCTGGTAGCTGTGAGGCAGCTATCAGTTGAAAACCACACTGGAAACTCAGCTATACAGCTTCTTATGCAGTTTTGTTTTTATAGTAGTGTAAAGATTAGCAGAATCAGACTTACGTTTTCAATGATGAATGTCCAGTCTTTGTCTTCAAATTCATCAGCATTTGGATCCTATGGAAGAGTTTATAACAGTATTAGTAACTGAATCATATTTTTAATATTATTTTTACTGTATTCTATATACATATTATATGGCATTTATCAACACTTTACACTTCAGGTTAATTATTTAGTGATTAATCTTGAGGTATATAATTCTGTAACCACTATAAATTATTCAGTGACTGCAATTAAACAAAATGCATTAAATATTGAGTCATTTTGAGAATTTAAAGACTGGAGCTTGCATCAGACTTAACATTAAGTCAATTAATATAAATGACAAATGATATACTAAATAATGGCATGGCAGAATTGAGGCTAATGCAAAAACTCAACACCGTTTTGGAATGCTACATGGGATACAGACATACAACAACCTATTTGAAATAATTAATTTCTTATCCAGTAGTGTTTCATTGTGTGATGTAGGCTAACTGCACCTTGAAGAGTGTGACAGTAGTCTCCACATTCTCAGGCACCTGCCACACCACCGTCCCTCTGTACGGGTTCTTGATGCCTGGCTGCCAGCCATGAAGCTAAAAATACAATACAACAGCGTTAAAACTACTGGAACATGCCTATAGCTTACAGCTAAACAATTAACTAAGTTATTACGTTCTGTGTGTCTTGTGGCATGTTGGAAATCTGGCATGACAAAAAATTGCCATATCATCGTTGTCAGAATGAAACCTTGTACCTCCAAAAAGGTAACTCCACAGGGGACGAAAAAAACCTTCCAAACTTTTAATGGAAGACGATGGAACAAGATCTATATATTATTTAGTCCAGTCATGCAATTTGTCATGCCATTTTTCACAAAGCATTAAATTTGTATTCAAAGAACTTTGCCATAGGCTATTTCTGTCACCACAGCTTATCAAAATATGACTCCTCTACACTCTACACAAAATGATTTTTTCCAGCATTGGGCCATAGGTTAACAGCTCTGTACAAATTGCAGTGCTACCGCATTAGAGCTACTAGTGCACCATTTGCACTAAAAAAGAAAAGCTAACAGTTGTACTCATGAAAAACTTGACAGAAGTGCAGATGGGATGAGTATTTTAGCTCACAGCTGCAGAGTGTGAAACTGAAATAGTGATGCACTAGAATCCACATCCTCGCCTCACCTTAGTGCAGATGCGTCTGTTTCGTCTCGTCCAAACCACTCTCAGCTTATCTGGCTGCCTGCAGACAAAAAGGTGTAAAATTAGCATCAGCCCTCAAACGCATACCATACAAAAGTTTAGACTCATTTGTCACCTTAATAATTTTTGTTATTACAAAGTTGCACAGGAGTAGAATATTGGACTTCTTTTACACATTTATCTGAAACCCAATCAGTTTTCTATTATTTTAAACATTGATTCCAGTAGTGTAACTAAAGCTGCAAGGCATCAGGTATCTTTGATTCAAAACCATAAATGCAAGTACCACTTTATTAATGGTTTGGATCAAAGAAATGTTTAGGATTCAACATCAGCTGCAATATGTAAATATAAAACAATTTCACAGCTGTTTTTCAGAATGCTTTCAGTAAAGCTGAATGTGCTGGTACTACTGAGGGGGAAGTTAGTTTTAGTGAGGTGATAGATGAGGAGGGATATTATCATGAGTGCACATTCCAGTTATTAGGTTACTTATCTGACCCACTTCTAGCACAACATTAGTCTAGGAAAATCCCATTTACTTCTCATAGCTCGTGAAGCAATGGGGTCATATGTATGACATATATAACCCTCCTCAGAACAGAGCAGTACTGATCTGGGATCAGGCTTTATATTTCATATCCTAATAAATATGCTCAGAATAAAAACTGATCTCGGAACAGCACTGTTATTCTGGAAGACCTCACACATGGAGTACAGCCCCAGTATTACAGGACTATGCGAGGAAGTGTTTTTAAATGAGTGTGCACCGTCTCAAGTTCTGTCATGCTGCCCTGATGGCATAATTATATTGCTTTTAGAAACAGTTAGTACTGCGTCAGTTTGGATATTTGACTCTTCTCTGTTTTAATGCAAAATGTAAAGGGCATATGAGTACTGTATATGTAAATGAGATGTCCTACTTTTGTCTGCTACAGGGAAGTACTGATATACAACTGTCAATGCACACATAACTACCAATATACAAAGAAAACAGTAATGAATGCCACATACACAAGGCAGTCCTGTGAACACTTAATGATATTCCACGAATATTATAATTTGCTTTAAACAATAACATACTTTGTGGCTTTGTGTGTCTGTGTATGTCTGTTTATATCAAGCTGCTGGTCTCTAGGAAGCATTACAGCCAGGAGCAGAAGGAGAGGAATAGTATGTATCAGCTAAGACTTGCTCTACTTTGGCCTTGCATGTTTTAGAGTCAAACAGGTCTCTCTCAGTGGAGGGTGTGGTCCTCTTCTACTCACTCAAACTGAATGAAAAGGTAAACAAACTGACGCCTTTCAACCACTCTCTTATCAAGCGACTGTGACTCATTCACTAGATCACAATATGTGACTACCAAGACAATAATGTCTATAACTTACTTTTTTTCTTTTTTACCTACTTTTCAGATTATGATACTGAAACCTTAAGTATCAGCTGATACTGATTAAATGTTTCTAAAATGAACTGTTTTTAACTGAAGCACTTACATAAGATATCATAAGATACATAACATACAAAATGGCAGCTATTTGATCTTTCATAAAAAAAAATTAGACTATCTGTATTTCCACACAGCCGACATAAATATCCCGAGCCTTATTGAATCGCTCGCTACTTGTCACTCTTGTATTAATGCTGGGATACATGTTGCTGCTGTTGTTATCACGTGACCTGCTTTACACTGCTTTTGCATCAGAAGCAATTCAGTGATATTTCAGGATAGATCTGTTACAGAATCATCCATCCATTCATTTTCAAAGCCGCTTATCCTTCTGAGTCACAGAGGGTGCTGGAGCCTTTTCCAAGCGTTCATCGGGCGGAAGGCAGGAAACATCCTGGACAGGTCGCCAGTCCATCACAGGGCTGTTACTACTCTAGTATCAGATTCAGCTTGATACCGATACTGATCATGGGCCGCTTTATTTATTTATTTTTTGCAGTTAAAGTGCAGTACATCCACAATCTGGGCGCATACATTTCAATATGGCCCTCCCTTCCCTTCAATCAGTCGTTATGACACTAGGAAAAATGCTGATGAGACAATCTAGCAGGATGTACACTGCATCCAGAGAGTAATTTCCTCTGAACACGGATGCATGAACAGAAGCAGTGTGTGGTGCAACAGTGTGCACAGACTAAAGTGAAGGTGGAGGGTGAGAGCAGCGTTGGCCGTCTGGTCTCACATTGCAGGTCACTCTGAGCAGCAGCTGTACAAAGGCATGAAGAGCCAGGCTGGCAGCTGATAGAATCATGAGGCCAACCGAAATAGCCTGAGAAAATGGCAGTGTGGATATTAGGGACCTTATTAAGCTCTGTAAAGTGTCTACAAAGCATATGACAGTATCATGTCATTATTAAAAGTAGAACAGAAAAAGCATATCGTCGCTATCCGAAGAAAAACAAGTATCTCCAAAAACACTCTTACCTTTCAATGCAACTTAATATAAAGAGATTTTATTGCAAGTGATTTTGTAGCATTTCTATTGGTCCACTCATTGTGAAATTTTCACACAACATAAAGGACAGCTGGGGTGTTGAAATTATGTAAAAAATAAAAATCGACAAAAATCGGACAGCGACAATATGTTCTTAAACTTCATTAATTTACTTAATGTACGTAACCATATTCATAGCTGTGCACAGTGGCATAACCAAAATCTTGTGTCCCTGTGCAAAGTGAAAATAATGGTCAATTAAGTTAAGCCACCTATGAGTCATGGGCGTAAAATTATAAGCTGTCCTGAAAAGACGTTAGGGGGCCTTTGTGCTACACGCCCCAGTGTTAGTGACCAACCTGCACTGACCATCGTTACACTACTGGCTTTGCACAGCCATACTTTGGTTGTACATGAGGAGCAACTAGCCCTCATATATATAGCTGAGTCAGTGTGGACTTTGGCAGTTATTAATGATCTGCATGAATGATGTCATGGGATATCATGTTCAACAGTCTTGCCTGTCATTCCAAGCAAAGTGTCTAGTTCACACCAAGCCGAGAAACACTGTGTTCTTTAATCAGTCAGTCCAGACTTTCGACATTCTACACATTCTGCTGAGCCTAAACTAGCATTTTGTTGCATGTGTGCTTGCATGTACTTGTATTTGATAGGGCTGTCTCAGTTGACTAAGTTAACTAAACAGTTGAAGAATTTGTGATTGACTAAGATTCTGTCAGTTGAGTAACTGCACTTATTTATTACTGCATTTAATTACTGGTGTAGTTTTACAAGCAAATTATAGTTCAACCATATTTCTGCACTTTCTGCAAATGACACTGATTCTCTGTGTAAATATGAGCACCATCCTATTGTGCTGACTGTGTTGTTTGCTTGCATCAGTCGTGCAAAGCACTGAGTACTGAAGAGAGAGACAGATAAGACAAAAAAGAAAGGTGTTTACAACCCAGGCCTTTGGAGGATTAGTTGAATTTTAGTTGAAAATCCGGCCTTGGATGACTAAGAAAATCGTTATTTGAGACGAGCTTTAGTATTTGCACTATTTCATCTGTGTCAGTGACCACTTGTGATAAGCTTTAAGTATGAACCAGTGTAATATGACCAGTACTTTTCTACATGAACTGGCACCTACGTGACAGGCCTTGACGCTGCATGCTGTGAACATCTACACTCACTGCTGAAAATGCATGACGTCTAGCCTCTTTCGACAAGACTCTTCCCCTATGTGAAAGGTCACTTAGCAACAATGACAGGGTTTACTGTAATAAGACAGTCCACACTGGAAAAAATATACACTCATCGCTAATTATGGCGTCATAAATGCAGGCCTGAAGTCTAGTCAGCAAACAGGCACCGCATGTTTACTGAGCATGTGAGGAGGAGACAGCTCTGATCTGAGGCATCTAATTCAGGTGGAGTATCACAGAAAAGGCTTTCGTTACATCCAGACAGCGTAGCCCAAAGAGAGGGAACTCTTACAAAATAAATATACAACAACTCCAGAATGACATTCATTGGTGAAGTTAAATTTCAAGCTACATCACAGCATATAGTTTTACGCTGCTAAAAAGGTGCTTGTCAGTGCTCCTGTACAGCAACAAGTGCTCATGACAGGAAGATGCTAGATCTACTGTTAAATGCACTGTTTTATTTAAAAGGTATTTCCATCAATGTTTCTCATTTCTGCGTAATTCAATCATGGATATGTGAACCAAACAATACAGAGAGTGTTGATGTAAAATGTGCCATTCTAAAGAAACTTGTCAACCTGATTTCTTTACTGTGGTGGTAACGTGAATCATGTGTTATGATGTCAATATAGTCATTATATTCACCATTTCATTCATCAGAACCACCAGTGAATCTACAAATGTCTTCTGATGTTTTTCTCTTCTGAAATAGTGGCAAATCCAAAAAAAGAGTTTTCTTTGGGTACTATTCACCTGCATGCACATTTCTGCCATGAAAAAAATCAATTGGGGCTAAAATCTCTCCTCAAAATGATCATAAAATAATGTCTCAGGCGTCAGTCAACATTTTCGTGTAATGTCATGTAATAACTGTCTGTGAAGGAACTTTTAGAGGCATTAAACGCTTCAGATGTCTGGTTCATATCACCACCACCGTGAACAAATCTGACTCTGACACATCAAACCTCTCTTTGTTCAAATCTCAATGATGCAGTTATGCAGACATTTTGAAAAATCACAGAAATTCCCATTTAAAACAATACATTAGTTTTCAAATATATTTGTTTCAAAACAAGTGCATATTAAGTTTCAAAACTTAATCCTCCAAATTAAGTCGAGAAGCCAAGACATGTTTGGATTCTGAATTTTACCTCTTTATCTTTTCACTGGAGCTACAAGGCTAACATTGCCAACGAGTCATAGAAGTTTACACTTCATCAGTTGGCACTGTGCAAACTGCAAACCGAAATCATCACACATTTGCCTCTAATTGTGTCAAGGTTTTGAATAAATATCAAATAGTCTTACTTGCCACTATGCAACAAACTGTTATTGATAAAATGCACAAAAGTAAAGACATGGTTCAGGCTTCAATCTATGACTGCTTTTAGCTAGGTGATATACTTTGTCCATTTTTATCTGCTTTAAGATGGCTAGAGAATGTTGTTCATGCCAACCTTTAGAGAGACTGCAGTTGTGTTGTTGATGCAGCATCTCTGATAAAGCAGCACTTGAGTTAATTCTTGGGGGATTGTAAATTAAATTTAATGTTATAATAGTATTACAAAAATGTAATAATCCCTGTTATTACATTACAGCAGGACCCTGTGTTCCAGCCGAAGCCTGGCTGCTTGGTACTGAGCTAAACAACAGCTGCCATCACTAAATGTGGCCTCTGGGAGTTTGACACTCATACTAACACAATGCTTCATGTCTCAAGAATACCAAGGCACATACTGTGTAACTTGAAAACAACAAACACAGCACAAGCTTAATGTGATGGGAAGGAAAAACAACAAAATGCAGAAAGAGAACATTTGGATGCTCTGTTTTATCAGTGAAGCAGCAGACAGCGTATAACTTACTCCACCCTCAAAGTCATGGAGAGTGGGGGTTAAAACAGTGGGCAGTGGTGGAGGACAAACCAAGAGACTGCTGGCCTTTGCAAATCAGAGGCTCTGGCACCATCTACAAACTAGTTTCTGTCTGGTCACTAAGACGTGTCCTTTTGACCAAGCTCCAATTAGGACAAGCGTGTGAGTGTGTGTGTGTGTTGGGAGGGGGGTCTTAGGCAGAGCTTTGTGTCTCACACTCCAAATAAAAGGTGAGCGAACAAGAAAAATAAAAAAGCAATGGCTTGTGCTTATTAACCCTAAAATGCCAAGGATCGGAAAACTTCTACATACTCTTATTACTTAAGAAGAGTTAGTAGGATTTCCTCCACTAAGAAAAACATTTCTTCTCAAAACAACCGCAAATAACACAATCTGAGTTAAACTTCTTAAACTTATTATTTGATTTTCCAAATTTTAGCGTGATCATGTCTTTTTTAAGTTAAACCCTAAACCTCTATAGATCCTGTATGTGGTGCCTACATCTCAGTTACTCAGTCTTATAACTACATACTAGATTCATAGCAGTTACTGGAACATTTATAACGTTTACAGAAGAATAAGCTTTATGATTAATAACTCAGCTATAAGCCCAGGGCTTAAGGGGATCAAACTGAAGTGTTTTCACGCTGTAACTGAATGAACTTGCTTCAAATGTTTACATCAGTCCCGCATAGATAAAGACTCTTACATCACATGCTGTTGCCAAAAAGGAAACTGAAAGACCACGCTGAGTTGATGTAATATACTATATTCATATGGAAATGAGGCACACGTTTGAAGCAAGTACATTCAAAGAGCCTGTTTTTTTCAGGGTGTGGAGAAAAACTGATGTGAACACTAAGAGAGCTGCCTTGTACAAGTCCAGACCTCTGAACTTGAGGCTAACCCTATTCATCTGCCCATCAGCTCTGAGCAGCACTCCTCATGACAGTGATTAAGGCAGACACAACAACAGCAACAACAACGCGGAAGTGAGCTGATAAGCGCTTAGCAGAGCGCAGCCGCACCTTATCAGCAACAAATTACATCAAAACATTCAGAAAAATATCTGTAAGACTCTCGGTTTCGTAAAAATGAAGTGTCCTCTCGGTGACTAACTCTAAACCGGGCTAACTCTGGTCCCATCACCTCAGGCTGAGTCTCACTCACTGCTCTCATGCGAGGCTGAACTTGGCTTCTTAGCAGTTGCTGTACCATTTAAGGTGGGACGGGAAACTTCGAGTCCGAGGCTGACTTCAGCTCGGGCAGCCTGCCGCGGACACTTTGCCACACCAACTCTGTTTTGTTCAGAAGTCACGTTAGAAACTAGAAAGGCTCGTGTGGACGAGCAGCCACCCACCACTTGTTGGTGCACTCCACCGTCAGCTCCGAGAAGGACGCCACGAATTGGAAGCGGGACGCCCTCTTCCCCACGCGCTGGAGTCTCTTCCACACCGAGGTCATGGCTGCACTGCGATGTCCCTCACAAATGCGCGCTGAATCGCGAAAAAGGCCACATCGTCTGACTGTGTGTGTTAGAAACGAGCTGCTGCTCTGTTAGTTTCCCCTCAGCTGTGCTGCGCTCACATGGCGCGAGCGTGCAGGCGGGAGCGCGCGCAGCTCCTCACTCACCGTCCAGCTTTAGATTCACATCAGGAGCGCACAGAAAGCCCTGAAACACGAGAGCACGATGGATATTCCGGCCTTTCACAGAGCTATAAATAACCTAAAGAGAGCTGGCCTTCACTAGAAAATCCCCAGGGCAGAATAAAACCCTACAGCGCCGAGTTAACCCCCACAGTGGTAAATTAAACCTTATAGGGTGTCGAATTAAAACAGTAAGCCGATTTATAGTGATATTACCACAGATAAGGTGTGTTACTAGGCACAACAACGCTTTCATAAATTTACATTTTTAATTTAATCATGAACACGTCATAATATAAGTTTCATAATATAAGTGTTTAACGTAGAAATCTTCACCATATACGGTTCGGCTAGCCCATCTATATGATTTTGTGTATTATATATATTATATATACATTATATCATACACGATGGTTCCCACACTGGGTTTAATATTACTTACGGCAGACAGACATTTAAAGCTTACAAGACATTTAAGTAACGCACTCTTTACTTTATATGAGGCAGTTTTCCTTCAGTAAGTGCTTTAATGCTTTTAAGTGGCCATATTAATATGGCCTTTTTTGCCTGCTGGCCTCTAAAGTATCTAGTTCTCGTTGTTAAGAAAATAAGTTTAATCAAAACAAGATTCTTTTGTGGGTTATGTTTACGTCCTCTCTATCAGTATGCTCAATGGTCCATGCAGTCAACATAAAAAGCATTCACAAGAATTCAGATGTTATAAGATAACATGTACAGTTTGTTCTTACATGTTCTTTGAGTTTGTTTCCCATAGGATGTTTAAACGTAAAAATGTTAGTTACTGGGCTTCCTTAAAAGCATATTATTTCTTATTTTTAAAGTTGAAGCAGCATTTTTACAGTATGATATATACAGTATAATAATACAGTCTTTACAATAAAACGACTTTGAATGTGGCTCAGTCTGTCAGATGTCAGATCCTGAATTACCCATTTTACGGTTGGATGGAGTTTATATTGTTGCTTTTACCTCAGTAGTGTCTAATTAAAGTTTTTAGATTAAACCCAGTGTAGGCCACCTTTAACAGTGTTGAATATGCAGTATTGAATTAACTCTTATACATTGTTGGCATAAACCTTATAAAGTGTTGAATTTATGCTGTGCTGAATTAAACCTTGTACACTTGTACAGTGTTGTAGTGTTGAAATAACCCTTACAGTATTGAGTTAACCCCTAATGTACAGTATTGAATTACCCTTAGAATGTTGAAGTAACACCTATAGTACTGAATTAATCCCTAGTGTTGATTTAACTCTTACAGTGTTGGTTTCACTGCTACAGTATTGAAGTAAGCCCTATACACTGTTGAATTTACTCCTGTGGGGTATAATTAAACCCAACACTGTGTTGAATTAACCCTAGAGTGTTGAATTAACCCCTATACAGTGTTGAACTGACCCCTACAGTTTTGAATAAGCCTTGGATCCAGATGAACACTGTAGGACAACACTGGGGATTTTGCTGTGTAATTGCCTTCATTATTTGAGTATACAATAATAATCAAGTACAGTGTTGACAGGAGATGATATATTGTGGGACTTTTTCCCCTTTAAGCCTTGTGGAGTTATGTTAAATTGCAGAGTAGCAGTTTGAGTGTTTCCCCATTACCTGTGTTTGTGAACTCATTTATCACAGAGGGGGTGGCCTGGGCAGCATGGCAGGCCTGTGTGAAATGACTGTGGGCTGCTTTTGGGCAAGCTGACAGTAGGTCTGTTATTTAGCAACATACTATTGGATTATTGATAGAAGGAAACATTATCTACTGTCACTTAAGGTATGAATCTACATAACCTATACACCAGTTAGCTCCTTAAATGGCCAGGGCCCCTGGCAAAGGTTTATTACACACTTCTATAACCTAACAACAGCTCAACCAGTTTGCATTTAATTCGCTGTAGTTATTGAGCAATAAGCCTTAGTATATAATTATTCTGGGATTTTAAGGGGTTAAGCCATAAGAGTAGGCATAGTGCTTCTGTTGACAGGTGATTTTCAGATTTTGGTTTGTTTTTATGCGGCGCTACCGATATCATTTCAATGGTGGAGCAACAGGTGAAACTCTGCACAGTGTGTGTTGTTTGTCATATGTTTGGCTAAAATGAAGGCTGACTTGAGATGGCAGGTGTTTTAAAGGACTCAAAGATCATGACTGTATCTTAATGAATATCTGTTTAGCCTGTAATTAGGTCATCTTAGAGTGCCTGACATCTGTGATGTTTCAGGGTTGTCCAAGGCAGCAGGGCACACCATGAGTAACAACAAGGTATTTGTATGGGGTTGGAGTTGGTGTCTTAGGCCAGTGTTTCCCTGTCCTAATCCTGGAGTTCCCCTGCCCCTCATATTTGAGTTTTCTTCCTGCTCTCACTATTATATTTTAACTCCCTGAACCCTAAGGGCCTGTTTGAGGCCCACACTTTAAATCCTCACTTTTAATAACTACAATACCTACATACTGAGTTCATATCCATTGCCAATTAGTATGATAGTTGCTGAAAAACAAGTCTAAAGATTAAAAATTGAAGACTAGCACATCACGAAGGGCTTGTTCTTTATCTGAAGTGTTTTGTCAGGGGTGTTAGAGCAGGAAAAACACTATGATGTGCAGAGAAATGTGCAGGGAGACTCCAGGATTGCGAAATACTAGGCAATTACACACCAAGCAGCGACAATGCTACATCCCTTTATTTACAACAGTCAAGGTACAAAATAACTGTCTTAAATGAGAAATTATTCCTGTTTACTATCAGCTAGACAGATATATAGGATAAAGAGATAGGAGAGGTCAATAGTGCACTTTACCATAGTGATTAAACCATTTTTAGACAATCATGAGGGAAAAAAAACATTTTTTTTTAAAACCTGTTTAGATTCGCTTATGTCTTTGAAGGGCATTGTATCATTGGCCTTGCTGCTGATGCATGAGTGGGCCAAAAGGAATCTATGAGGAATTTCTTAGATCTCTGCATGGAAGCAGGCTAGCATTGCTAACAGGCTTTATCAATGCTGTTACACGTTTTTAATCAAACACAGAATGTGTTCTTTCCCAGTAAGATTCTGCAAATTATATGGCAAAAGAAGACAAACACATCTTTTCCTTTCTTCCCTGTTGAATATCACTCATTTCATAAATGTATTTCTAGGAATTCAATATATATTAGATAGAATCCATATAAAACTGTAAGAATTCAATATATGTGACAAATTATAGGAAAAACTAACATAAGGTGTCATAGTATTCAGCCACCACAAACTGCCACAACAGTTTCAGCGTGTCTTGGCATAATTCTAGATGTCTGGAACTGTACTGGAGGAGTGGTACATCATTCTTTCTAAAGATATTCTCTCAGTTGGTGTTTTGATGATGGTGGTGATGGAGAGCGCTGTCTAACATGTCAGTCCAAGTCTTTCATAGGTGTTCAACTGGGTTGAGATGTTGTGGCTGTGAAGGCAGTAACATATGACTTATGTAATGTTCATACTCATCATACCATCTAGTGACCCTTCATACCTTGTGAATGGGGGTGTTGTAATCCTTAATGAGACCACTCCCATTTAGGATAGAAATGTTTCATCATAGGATACAGGTGATAACTTTGTATTGGATTGCAGGGACCATTCCCTCTAATGGATTCTGTAATTTGGTGTTCTAGTCAAATGCCATGTTTTGCTGATTTTCTTAGTGAAAATTTAAACAAAGAAAAAAAACAACAAAAAAGTGTCCTGTACAAAAGTTATGGCAAATTTAGTTTTTTTATCTTTTTCTTTTGTTAAACTCAACAAATAAGTAAAAATTGTGCACTAAAAGAAAGTGTCGTATCTAAGTTTGTTCTCTGTAGAGGGTGTGTTAACTCATTTTCACTCAGAAAATCAATGGGACATGTAATTAGAATGGAGGTGTTCAAAGTTTTGACTGTATATATCTTTCAGTAATTTAAAAATGAAGAATGTCTTCTTCTTTCTCTCCCTCTCTGTTAAGTTGGATTCCTAGTTTGCTTAGAATCTGTGAATGTGACCCCCCCCCCAAGAGCTCGAAAGTGGAATACGTCTTGCCAGAAGTGGTGGGAAGCAGCTGGATGTGAATGGAAACAATGAGGGAGGAATTAGAAGGAGTGAATGGGTTTGGGTGGCTCACTTAAGTGGCACTGCTCTATAGTGTTTGTGTCAAAACTATTTTTGGTTGCAAGGAAATTGTTTGGAAGTAGTCAGTTCCTATATAAAGTCACCATCTGCATTGTAAAGGCACTGACTACTGCAGCGCTATAGTTACCACACTGATATGCTGTGGTTTTCATATTCTCAGTCTCTTAAGTAATGTCTTTAGACCACATACCACGGCATATTGGAACTTAAGACCATTTCTGTTAGTGAATCATCTTCTGATCTTGAGCAACAAGCAGAATTTACAACTTGTAATTGAAGAGAATTATGGTGGTATTATTTGAAACATGCATTAAAAATAAACATAAAATGTACAAAAACAGTGTTCTCACACAAAAGGTTCACAAAAGGTTCACAAATTCCATCTCGGCCTATTTATTTACTTTGATGAGCTAAATTAAGACAGGATTCCAGGCATGCTTTAAATGGGTCAAATGATGACACATCTGCTCGTCGTCGGAAATTATAGTCCAGTGCCAAAAAAAAAAAAGAACCAAAAATGTTTCATGTTTTAAATCTAGCTATACTTAACAATGATTTGACCTTTAACCTCTTTGTAAGTGTTGTAAATTCTCTGAAGTGGGTAAATTCCCCTGGCCAAAAAAAACAATGACAGGGGGAGAGAGAGAGAAAGAAAGAGCAAGAGAGTGAGAGAGAGAGAGAGAGAGAGAGAGAGAGAGAGAGAGAGAGAGAGAGGGGGAGGGAGGGAGAGAGAATGATGATGATGAAGTATCTAGAGGTCGTGCCGAGGTAAAAGGTTGCCTTTCGCTGCAGTCGACGTCCTGTGTGTTGAGATTGTGTGGATTTCCCAGCATGTCCTGTTTTTCTGCAGGAT